GATGCCTCGCGTCCCGGCTGACCCGCCCACGTTCCATCGGGATTCTTAATCTCTGATTATTAATCCTTGTTATATTAAACCTCTCCACTCGGGGGGTGACTCTCAGTCGCCACGTGATTCGACGCAGTGAAACTAGAAAATATGATATTTAATGTTGAACTTATAATGCCTCGACACGTGAAATATTCGAATAAAATAGCTTTGTTCCTCAATGTACTGGTGATTTCTCTTATTAGTCTCAAAGAACATCGCCTCGTAAAAAAATGTTAAATATTTCTAGTAAAAAACATCCGAGTGCAAAGGATAGTTCCAGGCGAGAAATGATTTCCGTCTCTTGACCAACAACCACCTCCCATCGATTTTCTGTAGTTCCATGGGAAACGTCCCTTGAAAGCTGATTTTCTTCGAGTTAGTTTCACAAGATAACGTCTTTGTTTTATGAAAAAATCGTTAATAATCTCTAGTGAGAAACTTCTGAGTGCAAAGGGTTAATCCTTCTTACTCGCGAGCTTTGCTCGATCGGCGCGTTTTCCTGAAAAAACGTTCTCCCTTGTGTTAATTCGCGAGATCTCTATAACCGAGCGGTACGGGTGCTCTCCGATCTCCTCGTTCTTCCATGTTTTACGCAGAATCGAATCGAGACATCGACGGGAGCATAGAAACCGGATATCCTCTCGGTTTCCAGCGGCGTCGGTCGGCTCTCCGCGTTCCCGCCGCGCTGTAATCACGTTCGATCGGAGGAAATTCATTCGACGGCGACGCGGGCGGTCGGACGGACGCGACCGAGACGTTACGTCGTAATCGTTAATTAATTAAGCGATGAACCCGCGCGGCGCCACGCACGGGGAGCCGGCCTCGCGTTGGGAATCGACGCCGCGATCGCCGGGAGGCCGCGTAATTGCGCCCGGATCCCCCGGCACCGAAATCTGATAAACGCGAGCAGATTTATCTCGCGCTCCTTCCCGTCTCTGTTACACGCGGAACAACGAACATTTCATTAGCGAGCGCCGCTCGCAACGCTCGCAACGCTCGCAACGCTCGCAACGCTCGCAACGCTCGCAACGCTCGCAACGCTCGCAACGCGCCCGGTTTAATCGTGTTATGCTCCGCACCGATTCGATTACCGGATCAACAAATTACCGTGTCGTCCCGCGCGCGGCTAATTCGGCCAATTAACCGGACAATTCCCGGCGACGCTCCTCGCCGTCTTATTCGGCCGGCGTTCTTGAAAAACCCGCCGCTCGCCGGAGATTATGCAGGGAAAGGTAGCTGCCGTTCTCGAGTTTCATTATGAAATCCGACGCCATTCTTCGCCGAGGTTCGCGCGGTGAAGCATCGTCGCGTGTACTCGGAAAGAATACCGACGTACGTTAAGAGCTGATAGCCGCGTGTCCGATTACTCCGGCCTGACAACCGTGAAGGGGCTCGAATAGATATCCTAATTTCGCAAATTTGCGGTGAAAGCTGTATTCTTCGCTTCTGACGCAGATTACGCGGTGGAAAGTGGGAAGAGGGTTTTGAAGGATCTGTAGTTCACTTTGTACTTGTTCGTTTCATGTTGATACAAGAATGTGGTATTAATGGTATTTAAATATGTTTTATTTTTAAAATCACAGGAATAGATAATTGAATAAAATAAATAGAAACGATATAGCTGGCAGTGTACAGATCTTTTCTCTTCATAAGCATTCTTCTTACTCACACTTGCATCAAATTCTCAAACACACCGCACTCTCACCACGCACTCATCATCCTCGCATCCTTCGGAAAAACCCAGCAACCCCTGGGCCTGGTCTCCACGAGTCCTTCCTCTTTTATGGCGCTTGGAACACTCGCTGTCCCACTGTCTTAGAACCACGATACTACAAGAATACACAAGAATACGCCATAAACGATAACAATAACGACAGCAATAGCAACAATCGCAAGTTGCTCCACGCATTCTCCATTCTAAAACAGATTGTCACGACCCCCTTGCCAGACGCGAACAGCCGATTTTCGTGTTACGAACGACGCAATCGCGCTTAGATCGGCTGCCGATCCCAACGCGATAACGTCGAACTCGCAGCATTGGGAGAACCCAAGGTGTCCGCGTCTCGAGGCAGTAACAAAGTTCGCGTTATCGCGTCAGAACGAAACCGTGCTGCAGGAAGGTGACCCGCAGTCGAATCTCGAGTTCCGTCCACGGACGACCGCGCTGTCCGCCGGCATTCTCGTGCGAGACGCATAACAGTCGAAACGGTTGCTCGGAATTAAGGATAGACACAGGGGCGCGGGAGACAGTCGCTTTCGTCGTCGAAGGTATTTATTTTGGTTCATCGATTTCCCGGGGCACGACGTGTGAAAAGGTAGTGGCACAGCCTGTATGTACGCAAACAGCCCCAGGCTGGCTGATTTTCATGTTACAATGCAGTCGCACAGATCAGCTGCCGATCGCAACGCGATTACGTCGGACGCGCAACATCGGGAGAACCCAAGGTGTCCGAAGCCTCGAACAGCTACCTGGCCAGCTGCTCTAAGCCATTAGCACCTTCGTTCATGGGTGATCCGAAGAAATTCACACCGAAAGAGAACCCCAGGGCTCCCCGCGCCGAGGGCCGGCCGCACGCACGGTGCCCGTCGATTCCCGCGGTGACAGGTAGTCGTCGCGCGGTATGCAGGACAGTAGGTCGACATCCTCTCGTTCGTTTCTTCTCTCCTTTGTCCCCGCCGTCTCGCAGTCTCGGGCTCTGCCCCGGTCCGAGCGTGTAATATTTTAACGATGCAACGACCGCGCGGGAACGGCCATTAGCCGGCCGCCTCCTCGATCGAGCGGGCGAGCGAGCGAGAGGGGAAACGATCGGGACCGGATGCGTCGTCTCTCGCGTAGCATCCGCGGCGCGATATGTAGCGCAGAGTTTTCTTTCGCGCCGCGCCGGGAAAGTTGCGACAGGTGGCCGATCGGTGTAACCGTGGCCGGCGTAATTGTCGCGCGCCTCTCGAAACCGTTTACTTTCTTCGTTTTCGCGCGGCCTCCGCCTCGCCCCGTTTCACCCGGCCCGCTCGTCCGAGAGATCCCGGCGCTCTTTGCGCCAGCCTCGTTTCCCTAAGTGTCCATTATTTCCATTTTCCGAGCCAGCTACCTCCTCGGCTTTGTCCATCTCTCTTTCCCGACTCGCAAGAATGTTCCTCGTTTTTCTTTGAACGCTCCGACGTGAACTCTCGTTGAAGGCGCTCGCTTCTCTCGCGTCACGCTACTCGCCGAATATTCCTGTTCCGAATGAAATTCAGAAACCTCGTACAGGAGCGTCCCGGCTAAACGATTAATCAGCGATCGTCTCGCGAACGTGTTTGTCGGCGACTTTCGCTTTCCCTGCGACGACGAAACGCGACTCCGCGACTCGCCGCGCGGATCCTAGAGCAACAAGAGGTTCTTGACCGCAGAGGAGATCGCGAGAGAGATCCCCGTGGGGTTGATATTCGCGCGGATTGAACCGTTTCCCACCAGCAGCCGCGCGATCTCTCGTGAGAGCCATCCACGCGATTCCTCGCGCTTCCACCTCCATCCGGTCGAGCTCAGAGGGGCCGCCTGCCCCGCGTACTCTCGTTGGCCGGGAGCCGAGCAAGGATTTCGTTGTTCGCGCGTCTCGCAGACATGCCGGATCAGCCGGGATTCACGGCCGCCGAAAAATCTCTCTCGCCCCGTCGCGTATCCGCCGCGCGTCTCCGTCGAGACGGCCGAGCTTAGCGTCCGTTCCGCGGCGAGCCGAGTGCTCCGGGCTCGACGGACCTCGGGAATCGAGTCCTGCGCGAGTTGTGACTGTTCGTGGTGCACCGGCGACCGTTACCCTGCCGACCAACGAGACACGACGCTCGTCGGACGAGAAATAGGTAATTATCCTCGATGCTTTCCGCGCAACCGGTTAAAATTCAGAACGGAGACGCGGCGCTCTGCCGAGCGACACGGAGCGTGTGCGTGTTCATGCAAATTTTGATATCGTCTCTGTAGAAGCGCCGAGGAGTCCGCTGATTAGCATAGATAGCAATATTTAAACGCGAAGTTGCTCGCCGCGTCGAAGATAGCTGCATATTTATATGTAGCCGGCGACATTATGCGCTTGGTAGTGTCCTCGCTTCGGGAAACGGGATGGGAGCTTGAAAGCAGAGCAGAACTTCCGAAGATAACGGAAGATTCGGATGAAAGTATCTCTTATTAGATTCTCTAATCTTCCTGTGGAAACTCCAACACAGTCTGTTGAGCTTTCAATCGATTTATTCTAAACCAATTTCATCATTCATTTTCCAGGGCATCTGTTCCCTTTCGGTAATTGCAAAAGAATCCGGTCGTTCCGACCTATTTAGTAGTTCCAGTGTTAATGATCGTTCTACAATGCCGCGTCTGACCGATACGGGCGAATCTACTGGAACCTCCGGTGCACCGTGCCCGCTGCGTTTTCCGGCCGATGAATCGAATTTAACCCTTTGAACTCTGTAGGCTCCGATATCGCACCAGTTATGATATTAAATATTTCAATCGATCTTGAAGAAACCACCCTGAAATTATTCGATTCTCCACGCATCCAAATTTTCTACCAAGGCGAACAAAAGATCAATTTCTCATTTTCGCTTTGAGTACTATAAAAATTAGTTGCGGTTGCTGATAGATTACAAAGGAGATTGAGATTAGATTATAAAGGAGACTCTCGGAAAAATTCCAGTCGCGAGTAGGCTTCGTTTAATTTGAAACTCGGTGAACCGTATATTTGGATGGTCTCGACGCGCGGAAAATCATCGACGATGAATCAACGACATTTCCATCGCGATTCGTTCGATACCACGGTTTCCCGGACGACTCTATCTTGAAAACTGCCGGAAACCTTCCGGGAAATCCCCGAGATCGCTTGTGCACCGTCGCGGAAGGGAAAGCGGTGGTCCATCGAGGCGTGACGCGGCGCGCCGCGACGAGACCACCCCGCGGGACGGGGGAAGGAAGCGGCTCACCCAAATTGTTCCTTTCGCAGGTCCATCTCTGCGCGAGAAGAAGAAGCAGAGGAAGAAGAAGTGGGCCGGTCGGGCCCGAGGCTATAGGCCAGCCCGAGTTTCGTGCCGGGCGAAATCTTCCCGCTGGGCGGACGGAGAGAGGGCGAGAGCGACGGAGATCCTGCTCTCTCGCCGGGCCTCGTGCTCCGGGATGATTCATCCGACCGCTTAGCGAGCGAGCAGCGCGCGCGGTTCGCCGGGAAACGAGAAGTCCGCCGGAGAGACGGAGCGAGGCGGACGTCGGATAAGATTGAGCAATTGTCGAGAAAGCGTTCGACACCGCGAGCCATAGGAGAGCGTAGATCATCCTGCTGCCACGGAGCGGAAACCATCAATTTCGGAGCTCCGATGAATCGAGCGACGCGGGAGGAGACTGTCCAGTAAGGGTTGCTCCCAGCAATCTCCCAGCTAGCTCGGGGACAAGATCGCGCAGGAATATTTCAACGAGCCGAGATGAGCAGAAGAACGGCGCCGGCAGCCGCGCTGAACTCCTGCGAGCGGATCAGGCCGGAGCGGCCCAGGAACCCCATCCAGAGGCTAGTATGGGGCCCCGGCTCGCAGTTCCAGGTGGGCAAGCTCGGCCTGCAGGAGGACGAAGGCTCTAACCCGCGGATGGCGCTGAGGAGGTACGTAAACGTCGAATCGATGGGAGTCCTCCCTCGCCGCGTCCCGCCGGCCGTTTGCCGGTCGAACGGATGAATTGCGAGACGCGTAATCGGCCATTGAACGGCCGCTAATCGAGTATGCGCATAATCGGGTTTGTTCCGCGTTCGCGGCGCCGGCGAACCGAGGAGAGCCCGGGACGCGGATTTCGAATGCGTTTGAGCCGATAAATCGTCCGTCGTCGCTCGTACGGTTCGCGCCGCGGGAGAATTCGCCTCTGTCGATCGATTAGCGGGGAATCGAGTTAGCGATATATTCTGAGCGCATTCCGGACATTAACTCGGATAATCCGCGACGATAAATAGCGGATTAAACCGCGACGAGGGACCCGCGGACCGCGTCGATCCCTGTTTCTAGAAGGACGATCTATCGAGAGGTTTCCTTTGAACAGTCTGCTGCGGTTGTACGAGGGAAGGCAGTACCGAGAGGCCGCCGGGCTGCTCGCGAAGCTGCCGCACTACACCCTGAAGGCCACCCTGCCGGACATCCCCGTGGACCTGTTGATCGAGACGCTGCCGCACAGCCTGGCCCTGCTGGAGGCGCTGTACGCGCGACTGGCGGAGCTGAACGTCAACGACGCGAAGATCCTCCGCGTCGAGCAGGTGCTCTGGAAGATCGTGCACCTGATCTCGACCAGCCAGGACCACTTCCGCCTGAGGATCTGGTGCAAGCTGCTGGCCGCGGTCGGCAGGCTGGCTCCCAACGCCAGGAACACGCTGCTGGCTAGGAAGAGAGCGCTGGAGAGGGCCGTCGAGGGGCTGGGCAAGCACGGCCTCGTGCCCTCCTCGCAGTCCGGCAATTCCGACGCGGTCACCGCGCCGAATCTGCTCCCTCTGCCGACGGTGCTCAAGGAGGAGCTGGAGAACAGGATCGACGCGTACAAGCTGGCCGTGCACAAGATCGAGAGCTTCGGGAAGCACGCCAGGACGCACAAAGGTAGGCTCCTCTCGGGAGGACACCGAGAAACTCGCGGAATCGCGGGCGAGAGAAAGTCCGAAAGTTCACGCGACACCCGATCGGATGTGCCGTTCCCGATCCGATTACCTTCGTCTGATGTCGGCGGGACGCGCGACCGTCTCGCTCGTCCTTTCGCGTCGCTCCGGGCCAGTTCCACTTAGCCGGGTCGGGCGGATCGGCGCTGTTAGAGAGAACCGATCGACGAGGAGGAGGTTCGTCTGGGAATCGATAGACTCTCGAAAGTTTCCGGTACTCTGCGTTCTCTTTATCTGTGAACGCGGACTACAACGTCGAATGCTGGGCGGAGGTTGCGGTTATTCGATGTTTCGCTATCGGTGAAAGACTTTCCTGCACGCAGATTACTCCCAGAAGTCGACTAACTATCGGGCGAGCCATTAACTTCGTCGCTGCAAGAAACCGGCGTGTACCGCTGTGACGATCGACGTTCGATCTCGTCGGGATTCCCCGAGGTATCGAATTTTCTCGCGTTCACACGGAGAATCCGGTTACATTCCTCGTTCGACCGTTGTTCCTCGGATGTTCCGGGAATGAGGCGCATCAGACGAACGCAAGGAAAAGAGATGGTCGTATTTGAGAAAGTTCACGGCGAGATTCGTTTTGATTCGAATCGACGGCGAATTTCTCGCGATTCAGGATTAATTCGGCCCTCGAATTGCTGGATAATTGAACGAACGGGCGGGTGGGCCGCGTATAAAAGCATGAAACCGGGCTCGACCGGGAGCGCCCGAGCGGGAAAGAGAAATGGAATTATTCGCTCGCGACTCCGTTCGACGAATTATCAGCGAATCGATCGGACGGCCGGAAATTGCCGATTTCTCGGGGCCCGGTCCTGTCGTCGCGTATTTTAGCGTGCTTTGGAACCAATCGATGACGAAGAATGACAATTCGTGGACGACCTCCTTCGTTATTCGAGCCTCTCGGGGTCACGCCGCGGTCATCGGTGTCGATGGTTAACCTCTTGAGCTGCTTTCGCTATGAAATCGCTAACGTCTTGTACATCGATCTCGTTCCAGTACAAAACGATTAATAAACACGGTCAGTGCCAGAGGTCAACCGCGAACCAATCGTCTTAACGCTGTTTCTAAGGGTGTCAAAGGACACCTGAAATTTTAACCCTTTGCACTCGAGAATTATTTCGCTAGATATATTCCTGATTTTCTAGTGAAATATCAATGATATGTTTCATAATTAGTATTAATATAGATAACATAGAAATTAAGGGATAGAACTATTCTATTTTAACGTATCATGGATAATTACGTTAAATGGATTTTAATATTGAATATCAGACTTTAAATAGATAAAGGCGTTTATTTTCAAAAAATGTTCCCCCAGCCTTACATAGTTTGGTTAGGTCTTGGTTAGGTCAAGAAACTTTTTATACAAGGTTTAACATTAAATATCACAGTCTATAGTTTCACTGTGTCAAATCGAGTGATGACTGAGAGTCAGCTCTCGAATGCGAAGGGTTAATTAAAAATTTCGAAAGGTGTCTGTCGAGGTTATTCCGGTAAGAGCGTTGAGTTTCTCGTATCGCGGTCTGCCCCAGACTAGATTACTCGGCACCGTTCTGTCGTGCTCTTCCGACCGAAAGTGACGCGGCTCGTCCGATCGTGTTCGCAGCAGACCACGGCGTGCAGGCTGCCTCCCATCAGCGGCAACTTTCGCTGAAGTACAGCGAGATCCAGCAGCGGCTGATCGATAATCAGAGCCTGCTGAACACGCTGGAGAAAGTCGGGGACCCGAGCGGCTTAGAAAGTCTCCTGTCGGAGCTGAAGCGAAGGGTCGAGCAGGACAAAGAGGCGCTCAGGCAATGGACGGCCTTGAGGAACTCCACGCACGCCGGAAACGCGAAGAACCCGCCGCTGGCTGCCAGGCTGCTCCAGTTCTCCAGAGGATGCGACTTGGCTCTGCAATTGATGTCGCAGGACAGTGGTCCGCAGGTATGTCGATCGCTTAATGTTAACCCTTTGCGGAAGAATCGCGGCATTTAGGGATGAAACTTTCATCTTTCGATGACTAAGTCGCAAACTAAATTAGATTCTGTGGTAGCTAGAAAGAATATTATTTAATCCCTTAACACGACGAATGCCAAATATTTCGAAGACTAAGTCGAAAACTAAACTGAATTCTATAGTAGCTAGAAAGAATATTATTTAATCCCTTAACACGACGAATGCCAAATATTTCGAAGACTAAGTCGCAAACTAAATTAACCCTTTGCACTCGAAAGTTTTATAAGTTGCGACTAATATAAATAATTTAATCGATAAATTAAGGGACGAAAGTATTGTACTTTGATATTTCACATAGTGACACGTTATACAAAGTTTAGTGTTAAACACCAAACTTTATAATTTTACTGTATCAAACCAAGTGGTGACTGAGAGTCACCTCTCGAGTGTAAAGGGTTAAATCCTGTGGTAGCTAGAGAGAATATTATTTAATCCCTTAACACGTCGAATGCCAAATATTTCTAAGCTAAGTCGCAAACTAAATTAAATTCTGTAATAGCTAGAAAGAATATCATTCACTCCCTTTCCACGTCGAATGCCAGCCAAATCGAATTACGATTCCCTCAATTAAACGTTGACAATTCGAATCATTTCTATATCAATAACAACACCTGCAGCGATATTCAGCGAAGTGCAATAACAATGCACTAACATTCGGCACGGCGTTCGACTCGTTAAAATCGACGAAAATCAGGAAACATTGAAGAACCGACAGCACTGCCTTCCGGCGACTCGAATAGCGCTAACCTCTCGTTTCCCATTTCGACATTCCAAAAAGTCAATTCCATCGCATCAGTGGTAGCGTTAACGTGCGCGCTCCGCGGAATTCGCTGCGAAGTCCGAGCCGGACGAAGTTGAAATAGAAAAGGGGTCGAAATTGAAAGCCGGGATAAAGCGTGGAATCTACGCGGCGCGGAATGAGAGTCGAATCGTAAAATTGCTCGAAGCAGCGGGAAATCGAGTGTGCCCGGTCCCCGGAGACCGCGCCGGTTGATAAACGCGCTCCGCTCGAAACCTCGCACTCCGAAGCGGAGTCCACGAAGCGGAGCCTCTTTCCCGGGTCTTAAATTACCGGAGCGTACACGGGGAACGCGAAGATCGGTCGATCGATCGGCCGGCTCTCGTCTAAACGCGGCTCGCGCAAATTGTCGCGCGAGCTTTGTCACGGCCGAGCGAAGCCGAATCCCACGGACCGTGTTTAAAATTTTAATAGAACAATTTGCGGCCGGCTCTCTCCGCTCCCCTCCCCCCGGCGATCGAAATTACCGCACGCTAGTAATCGCCGGCCTGCGCCCGGCGTTTTCCATTAATAAATATTCCCCCGCAAATTCGAATCGACGTTCGGCTCTCTCTGCCCGTACGAGGCTTCGGGACCTGCGATTTCGACGATTAAGCTCCGCCCTTGGCGTTCCTCTCGCAACACAGTCGAAGTTGCGTCGTTCTTCGCGATTTACTTTGTAAACGCTTATGTCAATTTTCATTGACGCAATTACACGAATGCAGGTCTAGTTCAGCGTTCGGCGTCGAATGCTCGCGCGCCGCCCGAGCGGAGAGTATAGCAAATCGGCGCCGCACTCGTGTTAACTGGAAAAAAGTTCGTTCGAAAATCCACGGGCTCCCGTGAAGATTGAACGTTCCGAGGGGGAAGGTGCTGCTCGACTCGAAAGAACGTAACGCTTGTATTCGCTGGAATCAGTTTGGAAACTCCGTCGGCTCCGCTCGGCGCTGAAACGAGTTAATTATTTTTCCGTCGCTCCGAGCATTCTTCGCGTTTCTCGATCGCGTCTGTCGCTCTCGTTCCTCGTCGCGAGGAATTCCTCTCCGCGGAGAGACCTTCGCGCGAAATTCCGGAAAGAAGTTTGTTCCGGTCGATTCCGGGTCGAGCCGGCCGGAAGATTCGATTCCGCGCGAGTTTCTCCGCCGACCGTGGAAACGCTTTAATCCCGGAGCGAGTGGGGAGAGAAAAAACGGAGCGGAACGAGGTCGTCGGGAATTGTTAATTAAAAGAGCGGCATCGATCCGCGTTCTAATTAATCAGCCTTTTCGGGGGAACCGCTCTGCCTTGAGTCGAGTCGGGAGAATAATCGATGGAGGGAGAATACCGGTCAGGCGTATGCTTCCTCTTCCGGTGGATCGTGAATCGTCGGATTTGAAGAAGACGTTAACGACTGCCGCGTTTCCCGATTCCACGCTCGAATTTCGAAAGCCGTGGGAACGGAGCCACGCCGTCGGTTTTCGGATCTGCTTCCGCGATTTCCAGATGGTTTCACCGGTCGATCGGTAATCGAGCCGCGAAACGTGGTTTGTCGGAGAATATTCGGTAGAATGTATCTCTCGCGTATTCCGGTCGCGTTCACCTCTTCTTCTATCGTCTAACCCTTTGCACTCGAGAGGTGAGGCTCAGTCACCGCCTGATTTGATGGAGAAGTATCAAATTTTGTAGTTTTAATATTAAATATCATATTAAATATCAAATTTTATAGTTTTAATATTAAATATCATATTGAATATCAAATTTTATAGTTTTAATATTAAATATCATATTAGATATCAAATTTTAATATTAAATATCATATTAAATATCAAATTTTATAGTTTTAATATTAAATATATTAAATATCAAATTTAATATTACATATCAAATTTTATAGTTTTAAATATTGAACGGTAAATACCAAAGTTCATAATGTTGCTCTATCAAATTATCCTACTCTATCAGTACCCTACGCTAGATAATTCTAGATACTACAATAATCATGCATAATATCTGGAGTCGTCGCGCGGTGTGCTCGCAGGCATTCCAGCTGGACGAGAATTTGGGGGACGACTACGAGGAGGAGTCCAGCAGCAGCGCCGGCTACCACACGGACGAGAGTTGCAGTCCGACCCCGGAGCCAGTTGTTAGGAACACTGGTTGCAGTCTTCTCAGGCCAATCGAGAATTTTTCCGGCTTCGCCGGCGGCGACGCGACCGCCGAAAGGCTGGCCGAGAGGTACGCAGCCCTCTACGGCCAGGCGCATTTGCATACGCTGGACGCTCTGGATGCACTCGAACCCCTGAAGGACGCGCCTGACTTGAAAGCCAAGATCCTCTACTCGGTGGTGGTGGTGAGTGTTCCATGAAAATCGAGAATAATCACGGGGACACGGTGTTTCCGGCGCTGGAGCCACATAACTTATTTAAAGTCTCTCGACGAAATTCCCATTCTCTCCTTTAACACTAAAACTACCAGAAGGGTGAAATGACCAATGATGTCTTCTTCCTGCAATTATTAGGAAGGTGACAAATGTTTCTCCGAGAAATTATTAAAGAAATTCATTTAGCACTATGCAAATTGAATTGTAAATCAATTAAAGTCTGAACAGATGCACTCTTGGAGTTTCTATAGAAAATTTTAAACAGTCAATTGAAGTGCTCGGTAGTTTTAGTGTTAAACTTTCGTTTGCTCGTTCCTAGCATTTCCAGCGATGGAACTGCCTAATTTATTTAAAGACCCTCGTCAAAATCGCCATTCGAGCGTTCAAACTTCCAAATTCTCGACAACACTCGTCGCGAGTTTAACTAGAGCTTGACACCGAGCCTCTATTCGAGCTTAAACCATAAATGAAACTAATACTCGGCTCGCACCGGAGAAAATCGCGCGACTTCACCGTTCGTTCGCTCGTTTCTAGCGTTTCCAACGATAGAACTACCTAATTTATTTAAAGACCGTCAAAATTGCCATTCGAGCGTTCAAACTTCCGAATTCTCGACAACACCGCGTCGCGAGTTTAACCAGAGCTCGACACCGAGCCTCTATTCGAGCTCGAACCATAGACGACGCTAACGCTTCGTTCGCACCGGAGGAAATCGCGCGACATCGCCGTTCGTTTGCTCGTTTCCCCGGCGAATATCAAACTGGTTCGTAAAAATACAGCGGTTTTGTTTTCTTTGGCCGGCGGCGCGCGGAAAAGTCGGGATTGGAAAGCGAAAAAGGCGAACTGGAGCGGACGGGTTGAAGGCCGACCATTAAACCGACTTCGCCGGGATTGATCGCGAGCGTGGGCCGCATCTCGCGTCGCGCTTTCTCTCTTTTCCGCGTGTCGTCCGATTCGCGCCGCTCGGGCACCGACGATTATCGAAACACGCGGACATTCTCGATCGCGGCCGCATTCTGCGACGAGTTTCCACGGCGAGAGGAAAGCGTCGCGACACCTCGGCGCCGCGCGGATAAGAACCGTTAAGCTGCTTTTCCCGCGGGAAACCCGCCTGCGATCGAACGGACGCGCGAGACTCGTCCCGTCCGCTGAAGATGAACGATGAAATTCGCGGAATTCCAGCGATCCGTCCGCCCGGGGATCCTCGTCAGCCATTGTAACGGCGCCGCTCCTCGCCGCGGATCCCTTCGCGGCGCGGATTAGTCGTTCACGGTTCGAATATTCGACTGAAAAGCGGAAAACGGGGGATCTTCCCGGCTGCGCGGTCCGGCTAATTACGAGACTCGGTCGCCGTTCTCGTGAAACGCGGCCGGGATGCCGTGGTTCGGGACGATCCCCGATCGCCAAAACCGCAATCGCCGCCGATCCTCGGACGGAGGAACAGTTAAACATTCGATCAAAGCGCGAATTCCTTGGGCGATAATTGATAAAGGGAGCTCGGCGGCTTCCGAAGCCGACGGAGCACGCTGGGAGGAGAGGCTTCAAAGAACCGCGCCGCTTTCCATTGAAACTGCCTCGAGAACCGGTTGTCGACCTTGCGCGTTTCCCAGATGGACGGACCGCGGTTACCGAGCGGAAACCGGCAATCTCGCGGCGTTTCCGCTCGCTCGACACGCGCGACTCCGAGATCGGCGGAGGAAGCTACGAGAGCCGATGTAGTCGCGATAAACCTTCGAGTTGAAAGCGGAGTCGCGGCGTTAATCGATCGAAGCACGCGTTTCAACCTAAATTCGAAACGAAAGCGCCCATTTCTCGGCTCCGCTGTGGAATCGAATGTCGCGGCTCCTCTGTACACGCGCCCTAAAATTGCGGAGCCCCGAATAAAGGAGCGCGGATTCGGCGAAGCGGAAATTCGCCGCGCGAGCCAACTTCAAAGCCGGCATTGTCGTCGCCGGTCCTGATCCCGAGGCTTCGTCCCGACAAAAATGATCCCCGCGTCGATACAGCGAGGCGGCGCGCGAGTTTCCTCTCGCTCTCCGCGTATCGTATAATTAATCCGTGAATCGTGGCAGCGAATTAATTGCGAGAGCCGGCACAATGGAGCGCGGAGGTCGTCGCCGGCCGAGGGAATCGTTAGTTAGCGAACTAACTCCTCGCGTGCGCGCCGCGTTCCTCCTCGACTCGCTAATATCTAACTGTTGCCGACGTGTACCGTTACCGACTCGCGTTTCGCGCTCCGTTCGCTCCATTATCGCGTCCCCCGCGTTTTCCGCTCGCCTCTCTCTCGCGAGAATGCGTCGCGAGGAACTCGAGATTTTTCTCCTGGAACGTGGAGGCTTCGATTGTCTTGGGAATCCTCGACAGAACTCGATAACTTAACCCTTTGACTGCCACGTAAACACTCATCGAATGTACTCGAAACAGTTTTTCCATTAACCAGAAACTGAGAAATCAAGATTCTTAATAATTGCTGCACTATCTTTCTCGTATCTCGTATATCCAACAAAATTCAAATACTAATGAATAGACACGAGCTCGCAGTGTACAGGTCTTTTCTCTTCTCAGGTCAACGCGAAAAATCATTCTCTCCCCCATAAGCATTCATCTTACACTTGCAACAAATTCTCAAACACACCCCACTCTCACCACTCATCCTCGCATCCTTCGGAAAAACCCAGCAACCCTTGGGCCTGGTCTCCACGAGTCCTTTCTCCTTTATGGCGCTTGGAACACTCGCTGTCCCACTGTCTTAGAACCACGATGCTACGAGAATATACAAGAATACGCCATAAACGATAACAGTAACGACAGCAGTAGCAACAATCGCAAGTTGCTCCACGCATTCTCCATTCTAAAACAGATTGTCACGACCCTCTTGCCAGACGCGAACAGCCGATTTTCGTGTTACGAACGACGCAATCGCGCTTAGATCGGCTGCCGATCCCAACGCGATTACGTCGAACGCGCAGCATTGGGAGAACCCAAGGTGTCCGCGTCTCGAGGCAGTAACAAAGTTCGCGTTATCGCGTCAGAACGAAACCGTGCTGCAGGAAGGTGACCCGCAGTCGAATCTCGAGTTCCGTCCACGGACGACCGCGCTGTCCGCCGGCATTCTTGTGCGAGGCGCGTAACAGTCGAAACGGTTGCTCGGAATTAAGGATAGACACAGGGGCGCGGGAGACATAGTCGCTTTCGTCGTCGAAGGTATTTATTTTAGTTCATCGATTTCCCGGGGCACGGCGATGTGTGAAAAGGTAGTGGCACAGCCTGTATGTATGCAAAGTAATAGCCCCAGGCTGGCGGACCAGCGCCTCCGCCGCTTGCCGGGTGTACACTCGATCGCAAAAGTGCCCCTCGCCGCCCCTATCGCGACGGCTTTGACGTTAATGGTCGATCGATCGGACGAGAGGAGACGGCGGCCAGGTGCGTGTGCTGGTGTGTGTGCCGCCGGCAAAAATAATCTTCGCTTGTACGCGTGCACCGGGATCCAGGCGAATCTCCGGCCGGAGATTCGTCGCGAGACCGATCGAGCCGATGGAAATCGGACGGAAACGTGCCTCGACTCGGTCACTTTCGCGCTGTTGCGCTCGGGCGCGTATCTTTCTTCGGAACGCAAGCTTCTTTCGCGATCTGGATCGTCCGTAAACTTGATCGTTCTGCGTTGGCTCGTTTATCGCGGAACAATGAATCAGTTTTGATTGAACACTTTGAAAACCGTCGTCTTTATCTAGATAGAGAATGTTAATTCTAACGAAATACTTCCTAGTGCAAAGGGTTAAATGAAGCGACCGAGCTTCCGACGTACGTAGAAGTCAATTGTTATATTCAGGCCAACGAATTTTCTAAACAAGATACAGAAAAAATTCAACTGAAACAAGTCGTTGAGCTGCTAAATATAAAACGGTATCTTATAACTTCGAATAACAATATCTATAGTATTATAGAGATTACTATATTATAGATAATGAAAAGGTGGATCTTGAGTAATCAAAAACCAGGAATAAATATATCTATTAAATAAAATATGGAAACAACTCTTCTCTCGCCATTTTTACGTTCACTCTTCCTAAAAGTACCTTGACCTAAAAATTCTAGATACCACAGTATTTATTTCAGTTTCTCCATGGAAAATATAGGATTGCAACCGTCGCTGATACGCGAGGCTGGTAGCAAACGAGTTAACGAGTTTGCCGTCCGATTAGCGCGGCGCGAGCCGGTTTTCCGCGCGATATCCGAGAAAAACGCGATTACGCGCGGCGAAAGGGCGGAGGCGCGTCCCGTTAACCGCGCCGCGCGGGATTCTATTACCGAACAAAGCGGCCGACGAGCCCGCCGGAAAGCCTATTCGAAAACAATCGCGATTCCTCCGCGTTTCCCGGCCGCCGCGCGGGAAGAGGTCGCGACCCTCCGCGGCCGGGACGACGTAAAAAGCGCGCGTCAAAAGCGGAATCCATTTTCCGCCGGTGAATAAATGATGGGATCGCGGGCCGACTTTCGCGCTCGCGAGGGACGAGGGGATCCCGTGTTCGGCACCGGGAGGGGTAGTTCCCCCGTGTCGCGCGACACCTCGTCCCTCGTGCCCTAAATTCGCGAGTTACAGACCATACGCGGATCTCCGGGAAAGAGGGTCGCGCTAACTTGGGCGTGGATCGATGGCAATAATGTAGTATCAAGAATATTTATTGTAGGATGAATGGTTTGTCGTGCGTGCGTAAGGGCGACCGGGTCGTATCGCGACGGACCGGCGCCGGGATGTTTGGAAAATAGTGTGACTGCGTTTAGAAAATCTCGAGCCGCTGAAAGAATGCGAGGAAGAGTGTCTGGAACTGAGCGACTGAACCGCGAGAAAAGCGTGCACGTGACTGCGTGAATTTTGACTATGGACGAAAGATGCGAGCGAGAAGGGTGCAAGGGTGAGAAAGACAGAGCGAACGGGGGTGTGTGTTAAAAGCGAGTGGGAATGCGTGCATGAGGACATTTTGCTGAGAGACAGCGGAGAACATTTTTCGTGATAGAGAGTTGTATTCGTGGTATTAAGTTGTATTTTTACGTGTTGTCCATATTGTTTCCTAATTCTCTTTTTATTGAAGATCCTTTTCAATATCTATAATAATAGTAGCCCCACTATAAAATTGGGGGCTCGTCCGGGATCACTATAATAACGATACCGATCTCCAGACCGCGGATGTTCATGCGGATTCGGATTTTTCAGGGTGCGGGACACTCTGATTCCCTGCAGTCCTTTGACAACGGTAATGAGAAATTTATTAAGGAAGCTCTCCGCTGCGAGAGGAGTATCAAACTCAGCCTCTGCCGCTGGAAATGAATTTTAAACATTCATTCGCTCTATAGTTTCCCTCTCGAAAGTTTCGCTAACTGGACGGAATAGAAGAAACTAAGGAAATCGTTACGAGTCTTGACCTTTTAGCTTCTGCTGCACCGAGAGTAGAATAATTGTTCGCTTTGATCCATGGGCGGTGAACATTTTGTCGGATCGGTGTGGAAATCTTCATCGCGAGTCTGTCATTGTACGGCAAGGTGTTGACACGCTCGTGGACGTGAATGCTACGACATTTGAAATTTATAAGCCACGTTGTCGTGAACTTAATTCTACGTAGCCTTAACTTCTTCAAATTATTATGCGCTTTAACCCCTTGTCTGTGATCTCTTTCTCAGCTCTGATCGTCACAGCTACTTTGTCGTTGATAATTTATTGGAAAAAGAGAAGAATTCTAAGCTTACGTTATTCCTGTATTTCCTTTGAAGTGTAATAGTTGATCGCAGAGGAATAACATTTAAGTCCTATCCTTCGCTCACGCTCATTCTTACATTCACTCTTCTTAGAAATACCTTAACCTACGCTAGAAATTCTAGATAAAAAGGCGTTTATTTTCGAAAAATGTTCCCCCGACCTTACAAAGTTCGGCCGGTGGTAGATACAACGTTACGCCTTATTGGCAAAGGTAGATATATAAATAAATATATCATCTTACTTGTTTAAGTAAATTTTAGAATTACCAGTTATATAAGCGTGGCCATTCAGGTCTTGGTTAGGTCTTGGTTAGGTTATGTTATATCTAAAAATTCTAGATAAAAGCGCTTTATTTCAAAAAAATAGGTAGGTATACAGGAGCGCCTTTATGGCGAAGGCAATGTCTTATAATTTTTTTAGTATAACTCGTATACATTTTAACTAAATGTTCATTTATGGCTATGTTGTCGTGTTAAATAAACATTACGTGAATAATAAATACATTGGATAAGAAAATGTTAAAAGCAATGCATAAATAAGAAAATAAATAAATACATAGATAAATAACTACGCATACTACAATATGTTCCCGGTTTTTCCAGCTGTCCTGGCGTCTGGCGGGCATGATCCAGAGCTCCCGGTACGCGGAGGCGGTGAAGATCCTGAACGGTACCGCGGCCGCGTCGCAGGCGGTCGCCGCCGGCCTCGAGGAATGCGTGAAGCGGCAGCTGGCGACTTCCGGCGCGCGAACCGGTTCCCGGGAGGTCGCGGAACAGGTGGTCAGCCAGCTGGAGAGGACGCTGTACGACTTCCCCTGTCTGCGGGGATGCGGCGAGGTCAAGAGCTACGCCGCTGCGTGTTCCAGTTTGGCGTGGGCCTGCCTCGCGCGCGCCACGCCGCTGGTCCTCGACGTGGCGCAGGCTCTGGAGTTCAGGAGGGAGGTTCACGTCAGGCACCACGCGTCCCCCAACCCGAACGGCGTCAGGATCAAGACGGTGCTGTGGCCCGGGCTCAGGGAGGGCTGCCAGGGACCCTGCCTCCATCGCGCGATCGTTCTCACCTCTTAACGCGTCAGACGCCACTTTAACGCGTTAGACTTTTCGTTCAGGCCGGTCCGTGCGGACTTTAGGTTCGTATCACACGACCGCGCGATCAGTCTGAGAAAGCCACGGGAGTACGCCAAATTTTAACATAAATTTTTTCATTGTCATTCGTAATTTAACCCTTTAAAATGCTGGTCTCGTGCACCAATGTCGAGCAAACGAGAAGTTCGCTGTCAGGCCCTAGAATCCACGCCGCCCAAACGAAAAGTCTACTGTCAGTCCCCAGGGACTGACGCCGCTTCAACGAAAAGTTCACTGTCAGTCCCTAGGAATTGACGTAGCACTCAACGTGTTAACGTTCAGGCCGGTCCATGCGGACTTTAGGTTCATATCACACGACCGCGCGTGTCGGTACGCACCGATGCGAGACTAAATATTTTGCTTAGGCGACGTCGGTTTTTGTTCACTCGAGGCTTGAAAAGAAAGAATATAATATTTGAAAAAAGTTAATGTAGTTTATTGAAACAGGGTAAACAGAGGTGTGGTTTGCTTTTACATTCGTTGCGGAAGGTGCTGACTTTTTGTGTTAAATTCTTTGCCACCTTCGAACCTAATGTTCGGCAATTATTATTGTAACATCGAGAGAACTCCGGTCCTTGAGCTGATATTTCGGCTCGGCCGTCAGCGGTGACGGCCGCGTCTGGGCCTGAACGGAACGACAAGCGGGCTGGGCACTTAACGCGTTAACCCATTTGCATACGCAACCGGAACACGACTTTCTTTTACCGGAATATTTCGCGTATCACAATGTGAACTACACTCTGTAGTCTCGATGCACTCTTTAAAGCGATAGCGCAGCTCGCGAAACTTGTTATCAATACCAAACGCCGTTAACCCTTTGCCCCGCGCTTTATTTCTCGGCTATCGTCGATACAGCTACTTTGAGATCAGTAAATCATTAACCGTTTGGATGCTGAACTTTTGTGGATATTTACGAAAATGAAGTGATTGGGTGTGTATGCGAAAAGATTGATAAGAGTGCTTATAATGAGATCGCAAATATTGTTATTACAAGAAATATAGGAAAATGACATTTATTCAAATAAATTTACTTTGATTTATTTCTTGAAGAATATAGTAAGAAAATTATAATTGATAATCGACAAACGGTTAACACTAGGTTTACGCGTCAATTTGACGCAGATTGAATTTTATAGACATTATTTGGTAAATGTTTCAATCGGTTTTCGTTGATCCTGATTGTCTATTTCTACATCTACAATTTCCAAAATCTGAACGAATATCAACTTCCCCAGGAACAATAGAATAAACTGTACAATAAATGCCCGTAAACCTAGTGTTGAGAAAAAGAACAAAATTGTAGGCTTATTCTATATTCCATATCCATCTTTGCTCCGAGGTATAATTGATAACAAAAGAATATTTCATTTAAATTGAAAAGAACTGCTTAGTATTTATGTTTGTTAAATACTGTTTAAAGTCGCGAGTCTGTTACGTTATTATTACGTTATTAGGCAAAGGGTTAAGACAACAACTTCGCGGTTCGTCTCCAGCGCGTGCGGTCACGGTTTAGGTTTCCCTCGACCTTGACGAGGATACTCGAAACCGATCCAGAAAAACAGAGGTCCGAGGGCGGCTTTCCCGCGGAGAGACAAAGAGGGCGTTACCTGGAGGGATCGCAGGTAATCGGCTCGCCGAAAATAATTTAGGAACGGGGACGCCCCGGCCTCCAGTCGCACGGGGAAAGCCATCGAAGCGGATCGACGGGCGAGAGTCGATCCGAGCCGGTTACGATCGCGGAAAGGGGATCATCTCGTATGGAGGACACGCGACACGGACGTCGCACAGTGCGGTCGCACGCTCGTTTTTTCGACAGAACTCGATAACTCGAATATCAGCGATACGAAAGAATGTTCGAGACAATATATCTAAGATATAGAGCTAAACGCATGGTGGTTAGACTTTCTTCGCGTTACGGAGATGAAGTGTTTCCGATGACAGTAGATATTCTGCGTTTCCAACGTTATACAAATAGAGACACCGGATTTGTGCAGAATTTTAACCCTTTGCACTCGAGAGGTGACTCTTAATCACCAATTTGATACAGGAAAATTATAGTCTTACATATAATATTAAGCTTTGTATGCATCAATACGTGGAACATTGAAATGAAATATCTTTCCTTAATTCATATATGCTTTCTCATTAATTAGTTTCAAAGATCGTCTGTATCTTATCGGAAAGTGTTGCGTATTTCTAGTGAGAAACCTTCGAGTGCAAAGGGTTAACTTGAACTTTCATACGCCCAAGCGTGAAAGTTCAGCGTCGTAACTTTAGAAAGTTAGGATATTTATTTCGTAGCTTTCGTTAGAATCACGAGCAAAAATTCAGCCGAGAAGGTTAATCGTTCAAACGAGAATGATTTTGCATAGCAGAGACTACTCAGCGTTAACCTTGAATTCCGTTATCCGAACAGTCGAATTCCGCGTACGCCGTGGTCCGATTTCCACGCGTGCCTCGTCGCGGTCTTGAATTTCCCAGCGGCGGCTGGAATTACATTTATACTGCGCGTTATGTAACAGAAACGCGTCGCACTCTTTACCGTCCTGGGATAAGGTTCTAACGGCGGCGTGATGAGATTCTTTAAAAAAAGCGCGCGCGCGGACGGGATATCCGAGGCGTTCGAATGCGGAGAGGATTAAAGTGCCGCGGACGAAATAAGGAGATCCGAGTCGAGCGCGCGAAATGACCGGTTGCACGTAGGAAATCCGATCGGATGGCTTCGAATCGTACGGACGAAACGAACAGTCCCGCTGGTAATTACCTCCGACGCGATCGCGTGTAACACGTTGGCACAGTGAAATCTTGATTACTGGAACTCCGGCTGTAACTATCGGTTCCCCGGGCTATCGATTATCCGAACGATTAACTATCCGAACTCTCAATCATCCGAACTATCGATTACCTAACTACCACTTGAGTCGCTCGGGAACAATCTTTGTTAACCCTTTGCACTCGGATGTTTCGAAATAGTTAACATTTATTTACGAGACGATGTTTGAGACTAACTCGAAGAGAAATCACAAGTACGTTGAAGAACAAAGCTATTTTATTCGAATATTTCACGAATCGAGGCATTGTAAGTTCAGTATTAAATATCAGATTTTATAGTTCGAATTAGTCTCAAACATCGTCTTCTCGTAAAGAGATGTTAAATATTTCTAGTAAACATCCGAGCGGAAAGGGTTAACAATTGGAGAAAGAAGATTCGACTGCCACTTCTATCGTCCAAAAATCGTCCGTCACCGACTGCCGTGGGATCTACGAAGGAATCAAAGCCTATCGGTGCTAATCGCGGGGTAGATCCTCCCGCGACGCTTCCCCCGGCGGAACGACTCGTTTATCGTTCGATTTAGAGGCCGTAAACGATCCCGGCGAGCTTTCGGGGGAAATATGAACTCGCTAACGACGGGCGAGACCATTTTTTTTCGGCTGCCGGCCCCCGCGAGGCCGGGACGCGGCGAGGAACGTCGGCGGCGAGGCGTACGTGCCGAGAATTCGAGCCGCCCACTCGCGTCTGGCCGCGATCCCGGCGTGCACATCGATATTCTCCGAGCATCTGCGGCCAACGCGTCGAATACGAAAAGTTGAGCGCTGGTCCGCTCGCGATGTCGCGCGGATAAGTTCGCCCGCGACCGCAGGGAGGCATCTGTTGCGGGGAACTTTTGTCGAACTAGTTTCCCCGCAAGTTTTCGATCGCGGAGGATGAGACGCAGAGAGAGAGAGAGAGAGAGAGAGAGAAAGAGGGGATTGGTTTTAGAGAGTCGAGAGCGAATCTGGGACAACGAAGAGAGAAAATGTAGATTCGCGTCGTTTATCCGAACTGGCTGGCGCCGAGGCGATTTCGATGATCGCCCGGTTTGTAATTGAGAGTTCGGGTAATTGGCGTACTCGATAATTGAGTCGAAGCCTGTGCGGTTAAGCTCGGAAAGAGTTGAGAGAATTAATGGAATTTGGAAATTTGCTTTAGGAAACCGAGGAGGTTCCATTAATCCTTTGCACTCTAGTTTTTCATTGGAAATATTCAACGCTCTCTGATCAGACACTAACGACATTCTTTCAAACTTGACGAGAAGTCGCACGTAAATTGAAACTATTTTCCTTCAATATTTTACATATGCGTTGTGCAAAGTTTAACATTAAATATCACACTCTACAATTTTCGAATCAATTGCCGATTGAGAGGCGCCTACGGTGTGCAAAGGGTTGAAATCTCGGATAATCGGAAAATATAAAGGAAACGACTTGACCCTTTGCACTCGAGAGGTGACTCTCGGTCATCACTTGATTCGACACAGTAAAACTATAGAATGTGATATTTAACGTTAAACTCTGTATAATGCCTCGATACGTGAAACATTGGAATAAAATAGCTTTGTTCCTCAATATACTGACGATTCCTCTTCGCGTTAATCTCAAAGAATGTCTTCGCCTAGTCAAAAAATGTTAAATATTTCCAGTAAGAAACTTCCGAGTACAAAGGGTTTCCCCTCAACCGGGATCGCGATGGAAAAACCAGTTTTCCAGGACAGAAGGCCGCGGAAGTCGCGAATTATCGTAGGCACGCGATCTCAAGCCGGCTACGAGTTCCACGGTTCGACCGAACACACGTACGACTGTTCTCGGTATCGCAGATTATCACCGGTCACCGAGAACCGTGTTGTTCGCGTTCATTCGACGATTCACAAGCGTGAATTTCATTCCCGTGCAATGAAATCTCTGTTCGTCGAACGTGGACCGTTTCGCCGTAAGAACGCGGAAGACCGATAACGTGCACGCGTAGATAGAATAACGCGTTGATTGGCTAATTAGCGAGTTGTTCCTCGAGCAGATAACATCGTTGGAGCGATCCCAGTCGCGATTGCCCGCCGAGGAGCGAGATAGCTGGGGGAGAGGGGACGGGAAGGAGGTTCGAGTACCGTAAACCTCTCTCGTATTTCAAAGATTTATTATAAATCTCGTTCTCTATATACATTATGCATACATCGTGTTCCCAACTCTCTTCCGTTCGATTCGTAACAAGTATAAAAGTACATCCAACGAATACACCGACGAACTCCTCCTTTTCTTCGTGTTTTCCATTTTTTTTTTCTCTTCTCTTTTCGTCTGTTTTTTTTTTCTTTTCTGTCGCCGTTCGGTGCGAGATCTGTTGTCAGAGAGCTTAAAAGATAACTCGTGCGAGCGTGT